GATCGAAGCCAGATGATGGTCGATCGAAGCCAGATGATGGTCGATCGAAGCCAGACGAGGGTCGATTAAATCCAGTCGATATTTGATCAAATAAAGATGATGGTCGATTGAAGCCCGATGAGGGACGATCGAAGCCAAATGAAGGCTGATTGAAGCCGGATGAAGGTTGATTGAATCCATTGAATGATCCCTGACCGAATCCACGCGACGGTTGATTAACTTGAGACAATAGTTGATTGATTAAAGACATCGGCCGATTGAAAAGCGATGATGGTCCGTTGAATAATGATTGCAGACCGAACCGAGATTCTGTCTGATTCAACTGGGACTGAGTGATTGGTTGCAAGTCGACTGGACAGCACACCTGCAATTTGAAATTAATTGAGGGAAATTCGCAAGTATTTCTTCCATTTCTTACTCACATATGGGGTAGATGAGATAAATCCACATTGGCTCTTCTTTAAAAACTCCTGATCGGCGTTACTTAACGATGAACATTGTGGCAATGCTACACAAGTGCCATTCGACTTGTTTGGAGTTAGGCATTTATCTTCTGCAAGTGAAAATTGAACAAATGAAGCAATTCAGTTTTTTTCATTTAAACCAAATCTTGTTTTCCGCTCACAAAATCCACAAAATGAATTAAAAACAAACATTTTCCTCACACCAAAACATATTTATTCACACCAATTTCCGATGGAATATTTTGTCAAAACCAAAGTCGTTTAAAAAAAAAGAAAAAAGTTACTTCGAAAAAACAATCGCGTTATTTGTTCACGCACCGTTGTCGGATTTACATACCGGATATACCAGTTTTAGTATTATCAGTACCATAAACACGTTTCCACATTCATGTTTCGTATGCTTTGTGCGCTATGAACGAACTAAATACAAAATATATAGCAAATCAATCAAAAACACAAACATACATGTACGGATTTGCTTCTATAGAATTATGATCGAATGACAAAGTAACTTTACATCGATGAACACTTAAAAACTGTTCTAATGTCCTATGTCTTTTTTAATATTTCCACTGAGACATTATTCAGCATTTTTAGTGAACAAAACGATTGTGACGAATAAAAACTCATTCGAAACGGAGATTTTGAGCACTAAGAAATAATCTTCGTTCACATGAATAACGACAAGAAGAGTTGACAAAAAACAACTTACCTGCACTTAAAACATCTTTGGAAAAAATCACAAACGCCCAAGCTAATATAAAAAATATTTTCATTTTTGTGCACAGTCTGTGTCCGCTTCCATAGAGTATTTAGATAAAACTGACCATAACATAGGAACTGGAGTCTAAATTATCCACCTAAATAACTGAACGCATCAGTCATACTCTGATCCAGTTTTACCAGACTATTCGTTTATAAATAGTCTTATGATAATGGGCAACATATAACTAGTTTTTTGGGCGACGATCGAACTTACCGATTGTATAAACCGTTTTACCATTTAATACTTGATGATTGACGTCATTTGTTCCGAATCAATATCGGTGTAAACTATGTTGCTGGAAGTATCTATTAAATTATCCATGCTAACGTTTACATTTATAATGCCATCCGAAATCATGTGACCGATAACAGTTTCATATTGCTGCGATCGAAAATAAACCAACTGAATTTTTACGTGATTTTTTTTTCGAAAAGAAAAAAAATCGTTTTTTTGACGATTCTTTTTGCCTTAAAATAATAATGTATGTTTATTATTCGTGGATCAATCATCGTGTACATAATGAAAGATAACGACTTGATTCTTTGGCAAAGTGGTAGTACTTGACTTTAGCTACATTTTTGCGATATCATCAAAAATGATAAGAAATGAATTTTTTTTGATTTAATAAAGGCCAAGCATTAGCGCGGTAATTTTTTTTAAATTTCTATAACCATAAATTAAACCAGTTCGTGCCAATATACGTTAGAAAAATCTTAAAAATATTTATTGACCGCATCAGTTGTAATCAATGGATTTGAAATAAAACCGCAAATTTTCAAAGGAGAATCAATTTCCATATTTTGCGTTCATTCGTTCAACAGGTAGAGATACAATTTTGTCATGTGGAGCAACAATATTATCGGATCCGTGGCTTTTAACGGCTGCCCATTGTTTGCTTGGTACCGTATTTTTGGGATCGATGGCCATATTACGATCAATCCGCAAGAGAAAGAAAAGTAATCAGATCAGATGGATGTTTTGTTTATCCGAATTATAATGCATCTACTCACAGTAATGACATGGCATTGCTAAAATTCAAAAAACCAATTCTATTCAACGAATCCATTCAACCTTTTAACTTTTCAAGCAATTGTGAACTAAAGGAAAATGAGATCGTTTTCACGATGGCATATGGTCAAACTCATGATGATAGTGATTTGCCGTTGACATTACAGTGGGCACCTTTGAAAATTGTTCCAAAGCAACAATGCATAAAGGAATGTCCATTTTTGGAAGGTGGAACACAATATGTCTGTGTTGGAAGCATGAGTCGTCGCAGCACATGCCCCGGTGACAGTGTAGGACCACTACTAAGAAAAACGATAGAAGTCTCGTAGGAGTTTGGAGTTTTGGCCATAAAAAAGGTTGCGGAAAAGGGTATCCACAAGTATTTTCAAATTTCTTCAAATTCAGCGACTGGATCTCGTCAAGAACATCGATTTATAGTTTTGATTATAACTTCCATGAAATTCTGAACACAAAAACATGGGTTTTTCAAAAACACCTTCAAATTGCTAAAAAATTAATAAATAAAAAATTTAATACTGGTAATTCGTCGCCTTTTTTTCATTTAAAAATGAATTACCTGGTAGTCATGCGGTTGAGAACAAATATCTTCAGCCAATGGGAAGTTCTCCCTTAATTACTCACACGTGTCATCTGTTATCTATTTAACCATTGATAATTGTTAGACAATTGTTCATTGATCATTTTTGACGCAATCAAACAAATTCGTCAAACAAATTGGTGAATTTATCTTGTGCCCGAATCCGTGTGAACATAAAATCATCACATAGTTTATCTGAAGCGATTGAAATGATTAAAAATTGCGTCAATTGTTATCTGTGTGACAAAAAACGGCTAGGAGATATTACCTTTTTCAATATCTTTCAATCAAACACAAAAAAGCGCTTACTTTAGATGTTCCGTTCCACAAATTCAGCCGCAATTCCCGTACAAAAAAAATGAATTTAACACCGAAGACTATTTACATCGCTGTGTTGCTATTTGTAAGTGCAAGTGCATTTAAAATACAGCAAAAACATTCGAGGATCATCAATGGATTTCCAAGTGAGCGAAACCAATTTCCATATTATGTTTGGATGTTAGGAACCATTATGGAGGATAACTCGACCAATTACTGTGGCGGCAGTTTGATAAGTGAGTCTATAGTTTCAGTTGCATAATCGGTTTTATTTTTTAAAAAAATTGATTTAAAAATCCAATAATTTCAGGTGACGAATGGGTCCTTACTGCGGCGCACTGTTTAATTGACGTGTCTGTGATGCGTATACATTTAGGATTACTTAAAACGATGCAATTTGATGAGCCGGGTCGAATCGTTTTGACTGCTGAAAAAGGGCAATACTTTTCACATCCCGATTTCCAAATGAATGGTGTCATAAACGATATCGGCCTAGTGCGTCTTCCGAAACGGATTAACTTTACTCCGAGCATACAGAAAATTAAATTGCCAACAACATGCGATTCGAATTCGAATGAAAATATAGATGTGATTGGAATAGGGAACGGATTGACAGATGATGACAGTACTAAACCATCACCAATTTTGCGATGGGCATCGTTCAGAACAATTTCACGTGAAAAATGCAATGAAGTATTCAGATTTTTGAACTTCAGAACCACAGTAATCTGCATAGAAAGTCCAAAAGAAGTTGGTTCCAGTATTTGTCATGGCGATAGTGGGTCTGGATTAATACGAAGAAGCGACAATACTTTGATCGGTGTTGCCAGTTTCGTGGCGGACAGCGGTTGTGACAATGGTTTGCCACAAGTTTTTACAAACATTGTTGAATATCACCCATGGATATCGAGCATTACTGGATTGGATCTGATCACGTGCTAAATTGAAGGAAAAAATTCAACAAATTAAAATGATCACACCAAAAGATGATTTCTTATCATTTGCTATAATAATAATAATAATAAGTGCTGGGCATTGTTTTCGATTTCATCAAAAACCATTAACAATAAAACTGATCACTACTATCAATTGACTCGTTTTTATTTATCACTTGAAACGTTAAAACGTGCGCTTTAAAGAAACATTAATCAGATCCTGTAATGATAATCAATAATTTAGCAAGTAATGCGTAGGGTCATTGCGTATATTTGTGATCTGAATTTTATGTTATATTCGACGATCTTTATCGAACAGAAATGAGTTCAAGATTTATATACGCACCAACGCAATGAAAATCACTTGTTCTGAAGCATAATTCAAAAGTTTTGATTTAGTCTACTTTGATCGGCGATTAAAGATCGCTATGCGATGAAATCGGAACCGGTTGATCGAGTCTATGTTTCCACAACAAACATATACTCCAATCCACTTATTAACAACAAGTTACAATTATGATATCACATAAACGCGATGGAATATTTACGCGATAAAATCATCATGGTAACTGAATTGACTTTGATTTTTGGACGGTGAATACTTTTAATGCAAGTTAGATCTGAAACTTGATTGAGATATAGTTTTTAAGACGAATTCAATAAATCGACGAAATTTTTTACAGACGCTGAATATTTTTGAATTTGACGATCTTCTTTGTCTCTCTCTCTCTCTCTTCAATTATATTATGATTGCGAGTTATTTTGCGAAAATTGGCATAAAGATTGATCAAATTGCCAAGCACATGTGATTTTCACGATGAAATGGGCGCACATTTATTTTAGAAAATTCGAAAACAAAAATATTGAATGTGAAATTTACAGTGAATACTCATTTGAACCCGTGAGCATAAAAACGACTTATTAAACAATCGCCGAACAAAACGATACAAGAAAAAACTAGCGGAGTTTCGTTTTGAACGGTACCGTCCTGCTGTGTTACGTTTTTAACGTGTGTTTTGTTTGGTAGTTTTTTCTTGTATCTTTTTGTTCGGCGATTGTTTAATAAGTCGTTTTTATGCTCACGGGTTCATTAAATCCCCTTGAAAACCGCATATTTTCAACTGAACATGCTTGTGGAATTTTGAGCATGACACCTACTCTGTCTCGACTTTACTTTGATTTCATTAATTTCGCAGATGAACGATTTGTCATCGTGTCATTGTAAATTCAGTCACTTGCCGTTGTACTTTGACCCGAAAGAATGCTCAGATATCAAACTGTCTTTTTTCTGTCTGCGGCCAAGTGATGACAGTGTTGATTCATGTTTATTGTCAGCTTTGATTTTGTTAATAGCTATTTAATATGCTCGTGTAAACAGAACTGATTTTAAGTCTATCCAGTGCCCCATTGCAAAAGTTAAACTTTCTAACAGTTTCAATGAGGTATTAAATTTGAGAGTCGATCAAACAAATCAACTGTATTTGTGGATTTAGAACGAAAGAAGGTGCCATGCGTATGCGTAAGAAAAGTCGACGTCAACTCAATTTCCCTTTTTTGAAGTGTTAATAAAACAGTTAATCCGACCCCCTCAGTCTGAAGCGTTCATTCAAATGATGTGTGTCAAGTGAATGTCGTTATTGGCTCAAAGCAAATACACTTTCCGATCATCTTATTGCATGTCAGAAATTTTCCATTCCACCGAAAAAACGAAATGAAACATTTAAGGTATTTATCTCGTGGAGAAAAGGTGCAAGTCAAATATTTCAGACTAAACTGTTTCCATTTTCCCATTGAACGACGTACAAAGGAACACTTTTTTGTTGACGATGATGTGTATGTGTTCGAATCCGATTAAGAAATGTGTCTTATTTTTACATTTGACGTGTTTTTTTTTACATTATCTCATTTTCATTGAACTATTTGGCAGTGAAGTCGAGCGAATGGAAAAGAAAGTCGTTATCGACGAAATGCAAAGCCATAAAACTAGAATATGAAGAAGAAAGAAATTGATCGAATTTTATGCGTATTTCATATCAAAACTTTATGCTAGAATCCGACATAATAAAAGTCAGTTGCTGTTTTTATGCTTTGGTAAATTCGTTCTTCGGCCTTCTCAGTTCATTTCGCTTCAGACGAATGCTCGCCATATACATTGCACACAAAACGTGTCACAATTCAACAGTCTCATAATGTCGTAAAAGAAAAAGACGCACATCGACAGGCTTTTGAAGTGCGGACGAGAAAAAAAATCCAATCGTACCCGAGTCAAGTCAGTATCAGCTTTGCAATCAGAACGTATGAATTTGGTTGGATTGAAACACGACTCAAAAGATCAAAAAAAAATGTGAGAAAAAAAATATCAGATTAAGGAAATTGGGAAAAATGAAATGGGAAAATTTGTGAACCGCGTCGACGACCTATTGTACCACCTTTTTCATCGTTCGTTGTCACTGTACTGTAGTGTGCACAACTGATCCATGCAAAGTATTGACATTACCGGATACGCTGCTGATGAAACAAAGACATCATTCACTTTACACCCGCATCGACACAGTGTCAGACTGATGGATTACTAGTCAAGTATCGTGAGTGTATTCAAAACAAACACAAAAAACACTGAATCAGCAGTATATCTAACTACCGTTTGGAATGTAATTTCTGAGATGAGAGAGAGAGAGAGAGAGAGAGAGAGAGAATTGCTGCACTTTTTATTCACCAGCAGTACAATGTATAAAAAATGAATGAACGCGTACATTTTCTGGCTGCAAGAAGTACAGAGCACAAAATGAATCGTCTCGACATGGCGAAAACGCGAACTGAGACAGTTCTACTTAATAATTTAAAATGTAGCCAACGAATCGCATGTAAATATGATTTACATTCATTTACTCTCGGCTCCAATTTGTTCTCGTGTACCGTGTTCGTTTTGTTAGGAAAACGAATATAAATAATATCATAATGCGGCAGCAGTACATTGGAAATGCGCTGCTTCAAATGATGACAGGACAGTAGAAGTGAGTTTGGTGGTGGTGCGAAGGACAAAGTCAAATGGCCAGAGTAAGCAGATGAAGTGGTCGACCTGTCTCGTATTGTGTTACAACGATTAGTCACAAATATGTACCGTTCGCTAGAGCATCATCATCTTGGCGAAGTGCGAGAGCTGGGAACAAGAAATTGTATATAGCCAGCAAAATATGTTTTACTCACTTTACATTACAATCTATTTGTAATACAGCACGAAAGCGCGTTCTCGTTCAGTTTCCTTGATGGCATTTTGTTTTTGCTCTCGCGCGCTCTTCGACTGAAAATGAAATGAATAATACACCATTGCGAATGGTTTTCGAAGTCTTTGGCAATCTTGAATGCATAAAACGGGATTCTTTGTATATAAATGAGCTTACTTCACGTGGCCAAGGATGTGAATGAGGTTGATGTTGCTGCTGCTGCTGATGGGGCTCTCGCCTTTTTTCCTCTCTTTGCAAAAACAGTTGAAAGATAAATTAATCATCGTCTGTCATGGAAAGAGCACATACAAAGCAACAACGACACACGTACAAAGCGAATGAATCTGTTTTGCACTCGTTGCCTTTCTTTGTGTTGTGCCACGTCTCTTTCCGACGCGTATGGCTTTGCCCCAAGCATATTGTCGACTTCAGTGTATGTGATGGGTTGTGCCGTGCATATGCTTATCTTGAATCGTTCTTGGGAAACATGTGCTCGTCAATCGTACAGTTTTCTCGTTTGGTTGTGGTCATTGTGCGACTTCTTCGGAATTCATCACCACTGCAGCAGCACTACCACTATCGAGGAACGTTATATAAGCTCAAAAAGGAGCGCGCATATACATCAATGGCGTAGCTAGACTATGGGTCTCTATCTCTCTCTCTCTCTCTCTCTCTCTCTCTCTGTATCTCTGTGTGTGTGTGTCTGTGTGTACGCATGAATGCTAGTTAAAAAGTCTTCAATAAAGCAAAATGCTTTGGCAAAAAACGTAAACGGCATAACACTTGTGCGACCACTATGATTTACTCGATACATCCAAATGATAAATGATGTTGTTTCACTCCTTTCGTTTATTTTATTTTTCTTTTCCTTCTGCTTCTTGTTCATTCTGCATCCAATTTTCTTGTGCTAGCTTTTTTCCATTTCGCCCTTAATTCATTCCGTCATTTGAAACATGGCTGCTATGCGCCCAGTTCACTTCCATACAATCTTCTGTGTGCCATCAAACGTGCCACACAAAGTAGTAGTGGAAAGCGAATTTATTCCAATCCAGTTCGTCGTTTTGCTGCATCTTTCTTTAGTTATTTCAGCTGCTACAATCACCAAACTTATTCTTCGTCTTAGCTCAGTGGCAATGGATTGTTGGTTTTGTTTTTCTTTAGTTTCTTCTTTTGGATTACTTCGAGATGAGAATTTAAACCAAATGAACGCCTTAATTTCAATTGAAGCACACACTCTGTGGCATTCTCAGTGAGAATTTTGCACATCTTTGTTCACCATTTTATCAATTCGATTCAATTTTCTTTCAAAGCAAATAGCAAGACAACCAAATTCTCCATCCGCATCTTAATGAAAAGCTTCAGCAATCATTTTGGAAGGAGAAAGTAGAATCGACTCATTTTGCATACGTGTGCGAACTTAAATGAAAAGAAAATATTTACACCATTTTAAAAGAAGCCACCTTGCATTCAGTGGGAAACATAAGTAGAAATCAATAAACTTTCGAAGACAGCATTTTGATGCAAAGCGATGCGAAAAAAATGGGATAAACTAAACATATATGTATGTAACGCATGCAAATGCAATGCAAATGGGCTGCCATCATTTTATCGTTGCCGTCAAACGTATTGAAAGCCAATGTTATCAATCTTTCTTGATGGAAGCGAAGCAAAAAAGGAACACAACCGATATTGAACCGGTGAAAACAGTTAATCGGAACAAGACGAATCATTCAAAAATGTATTTGCGAAATTATTTTCGCAACTCACACGATACACGCGAATCCATTCATATAAATAAATTGATACAGCATTGAATCGATCTTATTTCACTATTTGCTTCAAACGGAGTTGACCCATCGCAACTGGATATACCTTTCAAACGAATTGGTTTTGCATTTG